CTCCGAGCTTATACTCCCGCCTGAAGTCGTGAGCTTCATCCGCGAGAAGCTCATGCCCACCGCCCAATACGATGTCTCATCCGTCCTGGCGCGTATAGTGGTCCCGGAGCTCTACAAGAATATGGGCGATTGCGCCGAACTTGCTAGCGGTCTCCGCAACCCGGTCAACATTTACGCTCTAAGGGCCTTGAGCGGCCTCTTCGGTACGAAAGCGAAAGGCTCGGAGGCTCAAGCCTCTGGAAGCCTCTGTTCTGCGAGAACTATCTTCTAGATAGTATCGGGAGCTACCTCTATTATAATCAACCCTAACGCCGTGTTAGGGGTGTTGGTGTTAGAAACACCAATAGGTCTGTTATTCTCTCAACGCCCTAGTTCATTGCGTTGAGCTCCAGGAGTCTATGGAGTTACGTTCTGATTCCAAGTTATCCCCCTCTGTCGGTTCTGTCCGCATCAACTAAGAACTTGAATTTAAACAGATTTTATCGAAATCATTTTAACTTGAAGATCCTGAAGATAACTGAAAGATACCGCAGCGTTGTCACATAGCGGCAACTGCTAATTTGTACATTTCTAAGAAATGATTTCTTGCAGGAACATCACAAACCCTGAAAGATGCCGGACTAGATAATTACAAGGCGAAAAATACGATACGGCAAATGAGCACAATTTGACAGAATAACGAAAACTTGCGAGCAAAGCACGTCTGGGAAGAAGTGCCGGTGTGTAAATTTTACACTGTAAAATATTCCGGGGAAAAAACAATTCAGCAAAAAAGTAGCAAAAAAGTGCGACTTGCCGCAAGACACTTACAAGTTTGCTACTTCCAACATTTGGTTGCTGAAACGTATCCTAGTAATTGCTGGGGTGTAAATGTGGTTACTAGTAGCAACTTATAGCAGCATATACACAACTTGTGTAACACAAGAGCAAATAAGGGAGAGTCTCACTGTGAGATGGTCGGAAATTATAACATTTGGCATATCCGCAATATGAGCAAAAACGTGAGATCGCTGGATTGAAATACACCGATTGCGATGATGCGTTTACAGCCTACCGATAGAAAGAAAGACGGTAACACCTCACATGAACTTCGTGTTACCTTTCTCCATGTCATGAAGAGAGGGCGAGGTTTTAGTAGAGATGACTCATCTCAGATGAGTCGTCAAGCGCAGTTTGTTTGAGATAACTTTGGCAGATCCTTCTGTGCGATCAACTTAAAAAGGTCACTCGATCGCGGCGCTTGGGTCTGGGGATGAAAATTCTTCACAGCGATGCGAAGATTTCATCTCAAAGGAAATTGAGGTTTGTCCGATTATCGTCGCACGACTTGAGACGAGAAGGGGGCACTGCTCGGCAGGCCCCACTATACTCTGAGCCTTGCTAAAACAGCAAGGGGACGGGGTTGCAGACAAACCCGATTCCTTCCGCCATGGATCGAGGGTGGGTGGGAGAAAGACGCAATCATCTGACTAAGTCTCGGAGCTGACTCGTCCAGAGGCCTACGGAAGCTCTGCTTCGGTGAAACCGTGGGTATCTTCGGGCGTTGGCGAAGGCGGTTGCGTTCCGGACGCACGCTGGTGAAGCGTCGCTCCGGGTTGACTTTTTAATGTTGGGTTAACGAGTTACACCGTGATAAAAGTAACTCGCAATAGGTTGTGCGGCACAAAGCATTGCTTTCTCAAATGGTTCGAGGACATAATTCGGCGCTGCTGTTCATCTCGATCTTCATAATGATGGCATTTTCAAGCCGCGCTGTTCTATCTATCATCATTCATCAGCACATTCAACCTGAGTGCACCATTTCTTCTCCAGCATGAAATTACTAATGTCCGCGACGCGACTCCGCGTGCCAAGGTACACGTGCTCGCCTTCCAACGTGCGCTGCCCAAGACAGTTTGTTCACACAAAGCCATCCCAGTCCAACCGAACTCAATAATAGCTAGACGGCATTGAGCAGACACCCACGAATTGGTTTCACGTATGACAACTGTTGTAAACGTTCAGTCGGATACACGCAGTATACGTAACTATGAAACAGTCTCGGACCAGCGTGGTTGATCGCATCCACGTTCCTCCTGTATACTGTTGTGAGAACGTCGTAACCCGCGCGAGTGCGGTGCATTGAGACTCAATGATAGCGTACGTGGCAGCTTGCCTGAACCGCAATGATCTATTCTATCCCATAGGCCGTTCGCTCAATGGAATCTTCAAGCTGGCCTAAACGAATTGGCTGTGCAAATCTGAAGGGTGAAGAGAACTGAGCATTCGTAGCACAACTGTTCATGCGTGCTTCTCGATGCTGGCCGAGGACTTCCAAAACTGCAGAGAGGAGTTTTTTTCATAAAACATTGGGAACAGCAAGAACCACCCAAAGCGCAGGGTTTATGAATTTCTGCTGCTTATGTCCTAATCAGCCAGCGTAGAGCTACTTGAAGCGGCCTGCTTCGGAAGTACTCCCCGACCAGTGGTCTCTTCGACAGAGGCCCTTAGTCCATTCCAGCCTAGGTTCTTGATTCTGAGCTCATATCCCCACATCCCGATGATCCATCGTTCACTCATCACAACCACCTGCATCTGGTCCTTCTATGAGAACTCAATCTTGGCCGTAAGGCATGTCAACAGCATATTCGGCAACCTTAAGGCTCATAAAGGTGCGACTGGCACTGCCACCATATCGAGACCTTAGAGAACAACAACTACCCCTATGCTTAGGATTGGTTTATACTCCTGACGAAGAAGCCCAGCATTTCGCTCGCTTTGAGGAGGAGCTGAGCATCCAGTCCAAGTTCATATCGACTGAGGATATGGAGGTCCTCTACGATGAGACCAGACCAGCCATCATGCAGAGCCTCGTTGACGAGATCAATGCAAAGCAGAACACATGGACCGCGTCGGCTGAACAAGAAAAATTCAAGAGTAGCTCTACTCCCCAAGTGTGATGTATCAAATCCCTTATCATCTCGTCCTCAGCTTCCTCTCTGCGAGATGCTAAAATGCTATGTGGAACTCTGACCAGAGACTCAAACGACAAAGTAGTCGAAAAAGTCTACGCCATAGAGGAGCTAAAAGACCTTCCTACTGACTTTGACGCTCGCACCGCATTCCCCAAGTGCTCGAAGGTTATCGGGCACGTCAGGTAGCCAACTGATGATGTGTGAAGAAACGCGCCATGCCTCGACCTCCAGAGACCAGTCAGCTTGTGGGGACTGTTGGGCGTTCGGCGTCACTGAAGCCTTCAACGACCGCCTATGTATCAAGTCGAATGGGACCTTCACGAAGCTCCTATCAGCCGGCGAGATGAATGCTTGTGCGCCGTGAGTAGACTGAGGGCCTCCTATTGGGTACTTTCTGCCCAGATCCCTCAAGGATCCCGGATGCCGTGGTGGATTTCCCTATTCAGCGTGGTCCTGGGTGCACGATGAAGGGATCGCAACTGGTAAAGGGAGTCGGTGGATAGCGAGTTCTCCTTCGGATTTGTCCTAATCATTGAAACGAGTCTCTGAAGAGAACTCGCTATAACTTGTCCTCGACTATTGTCTACAGAACAGGGACAGGGTAGAGATCTATTCTGTAGACGCAAGAAAATGTGATGATAATCCGGATCGCTGTCGTTCTCCATACTGACTCAGCGATGATGACTCGTGTTGTACCATTGTCTAGCACGACTTGTCCTAGTACGGTGGGCTGATTTTTGGGAAATGAATCTCCAAGATTCACATATGCTGCGCCATCTCATAGCGTAGTAAAACGTTGCTTTTTTTCATCAGGCGGAGATTACGTCCCGAGAGATAACATGACTGAAGATGATGGATGTTGGCCGTACGATTTCCCACCATGCGCTCATTTTTTCAAAGATCCCAAGTACCCCGCATGCCCGAAGGTGAGCTATGGAGGCGATACCCGAGACAAGAACTGTCGTTGGGCATCAGCGCGTCTACTAACCTCCCGACTGTGGAACACAGTGGCACAACCCGAAGTATCGGACCAGTTTGCAAGAGTAAATCTTAGATGTGTTAGCAAACTCAGACACATGATGGTCGTCTATTTCAGTGATCGTTATTTCATGGTGGAGTCGGTCCCGTATCACTTTTCTGCGGACGATGCCAAGAACGCTATCAGGACGGATGGCCCAGTGGGAGCGATCCACACCTGTGATCCAAAAGTCAACTTTGCTCATCGATTAGGTTTCGGCGACTTTTTATGTTTACGAAGATTTCCTCGCCTACAAGTCCGGCGTGTACAAGCACACGTCTGGTTCTCTACTCGGTGCACATGCTGTGAAGATAATTGGTTGGGGTGAAGATGGTGGAGAAGCTTACTGGCTTGTCGTGAACTCCTGGAATGAAGGCTGGGGTGATCATGGCCTTTTCAAGATAGCCCTCGGAGATTGTGGAATAGACAATGAGCTGCTCGGTGGCACACCCAAGGTTTGAGTAGATCTACTGCATGATAATACCCAGCTCAATCAGATCATGACGATTTTTTTACGTCCACATTCAATTCCATTCTAGACAGCATACAAGTTTATAGTCGTGCCCGTATTTAATAGATTCGAATAAACAACCGATTGCTTGAACTTTCAAAGGACAGCCATATGGAGACTCTTCAAGAGATGATAAGTCGCATATTCAATACTTAGCGACTCGTTTCCCCTCTCTGTGATTATCGAGTTACGAGTATCGTACGGACTGGGGTTGAATGGTGTTTAGTTCTCGAACGCGAAAACTATTCGAGCGTTCCCACCACGTCCCATCACAAGTTGAATCTCGACCAACTTCGGTTAGAAGTTCTAACCGAAGTTGGTCGAGATAGTCTAACTTAGAACGGTGATGACACAGTGAAGAGCAGAGTAGCACGAGAAGTAGTGTAATAGTCACGCCGTCTTCCTCCCTCGGGATTTTCGGGGTACAACTGCTTGTGAATCACAGAGGCATCCGAAAATTCTAAATTAGGATTCCTAATTCAGAGTGCAATAGATTATTGATATTGGAGAGATGATTTGATCTTATCAACACCAACTTTACCATCAACAACAACAACAGCATCGACAACCACACCATTATTTCTAATGCCCACTCACTACGTCGGAGTTGTCAAGCAACAACAAAGAAGTATTAGTTCTATTCTGTTCGGGGGATTCGAGAACAGTAGCTCAGCTACTGAGCTGAGATATCCCCTCCGAAAACAGATATCCTGCCTGACCTCCTCGTTGATCCATTCACTATAGTAACCTCTTGTTCAACTCTGTCAAACTCAACAGTGGACACAAACACTGGTGACAAATTGTACACTGACTCTTGAAGTATGTCGGTGAACGAGGAGCGGACAAGTGGCAGTGCTGCGGCAGTGGAAACTCTAGCAAACCGTCTGAAGGAATGAATCATATCTCAGATTGATGATCAACCGTTGACGATGAATCAATGCAAGTACTGAGGGGTCCTCTTGTACACTGTTATTGGTGAAAAAGTCGACAACCCTCATCAACTTAACCAACGTTCTTCGATTGTTTCCCGCAAGCTCTGCGCTTCGGAATAAGACCGGCGCTGCTAGGCATCCTGCGACTCATCCCTGGATATCTAATCACTTCTCGAGCCACATGTCGTTCCACCACACGCGAATGAGGCCCATGACGGCTATAGGAGTCGAAGTGCTTATATTGACATCGTCCGAGACTTCTTCTATCAACAGCAGAAGCCGGCCGAAGAGTTGATGAACCAACACTCTGCTGCCCATAAACCATTCCCGTGCTCAGCGTGTCTCGATGAGGTGTCTTTGATAGCTTGGTAACCCTTTCGCGGTCAGTTCCAACGCTTCTGGTGAGTGCCTCGGTTATGGCTGCGGTCGCGGACTGGGAACGGAGAACACTCTCAAGTTTGACTGGTCCTCGCGCAGGGTGCTCATCTGCTCTCGAGTCGGATGGGTCAGCAGATGGCCCTGAGGATAGTATTAGGATAAGGCCTTATTATTTTGCATCATACCTGGACCTTTCTCTGGATACCCGCCAAACAAGCTGTCTCCGACTTGGACTCCCCTGGATGTTCTCGCGACGGTCGAGGTGTGCACAGGGGGTATGTACTGAATACACATGAGCTGATCGCGAGACCAGAGGTGCTCACAACAGAGAATGTGTACAGGTATCCGCGAGGATCGATGAAATGACCCACATAATTCCTAGTGAGCGTTCCGAGCTTGTCAAGAAGCCTCAATAGCCGCTGGTCCAGCTCCAGAACATACCTATCGGTCGCGGATGATCACATCAGCCTTATAGCTATCATCACGACCACCTAGATCGGCGCTCACTTCTCGCCCGCTGATGAGCGTATGCTGTGAGATGCCTCGAGGGGTCGTCGAGACTCAGTACGTCATCATGGCTCCTGAGTGGATATAAGGAGGCCTCGAGAAAGGACAGCCGACCCAGCATTGGAATGTATGTTCGTTCCCCTCAGCTGAGGTTGAGAGTTTCCTCACTAAGTGTAAGAGTGAAATATTATCACCAACACGTAGTTGGCCATGTGCATATCTTCCCACACTGGAATCATTCCAGTGGAATGCAGTGGTTGCAGTCGACTCACCACCGCAGTGGAGAGCGAACCTTCGACTGCCATATTTCTCGCTCTCGTTGAGCTGCCGTTGCTGCAGCTCGTGATGCCTAGCGGAATACACTCCATATGGCGGTGAGGACCTCACTGACCTGTAAGTTCAGCTCCCTTGCGTTCGCGGTCTTTTCAACTTGTCTAATAAGTCGCTCAATTTTCCGCCCGATGTCGACCTGACAAGTTGTCTCTGCATGCTCTCTCTGTAACTCTTATACCTCTGTCAAGTTCACTAATTCATTCAGATCAGTCTGAGCCGCGGAAATGACCCTTCGAGTGGACTCCACATCACTGGGGCCTTCCTGGGCCTCTTGCGAGCCATTGGTCTCCTCTGTGAGATCGACACACTTTTCTATTCGGTTGCTTTCGTAGGCGATATCAGCCTCGCTCAAATGTCTAGATGCTTCCATCAACTTAATTGTCTGATCCCGCAGCTGAGCTCGCACCATTGCTAGCTCCAGGCGCAGAGCCGAGGCATCCTCCTCAACTTTGGGTCTGGTCATGCTTGAGTTACCAACTACCCAGTTGAATGGAGTGAGACATTTGGTTATTAGTCACCCCACGAGAGTGTCACCATAAGTCACAGCTACGAGCGTTGAGACTGCCGACCAGACCAGGGGGGATCTCGAGAGGCTTTGGTTGGTTGAGTCGGAATGTGCGGTGCGCCCAGTGAATGCTAGTTTCTGATCATTATTAAACGCATCAGCCGCGAAGAGAAGTCAGAGAATGAAGAAATCATACTCGCTCTATACTAGCCGACCGTCAGTCTCAGCGGGGGGGGTGGAAGTTACGGCCTAGCCCTTCCGCGTCAGAGCCGTAGCAGAGCCACCGGTTTGCTCACTCCAAGCGTAATTGGTTGAATTAGCACTCTGTCCTCCCTTGCCCACAGTTCGCGCTTGAGCCGCTCTCTTTTTCTCGGGAGTTCCTCGACTGAAACTTCCCATTA